TTTAGGATTTGTGTCAACTCTAGAGGTAGCTGCATTCATACCTGATGAGTTCTTTTTAATCTCAGTAGTTGATTATAGCTTCCATAGTATAGGAAATTTTCCAACCCTCTATTGAATGGCAGTTTAGAAAGGTCGATCTACACTTACCTTACGTCAGGTTATTGCAGACCCTTGTGGCATTTTTCCACCCTAGGACATGTGATTTAACTCTAATAGGAATCTTCATTATGGGTGGGTCTGAGATTAACTTTTATTCTGTTAAACAGAAATCATTCCACTGGCCGTAGCTCATTTTTTGATATGGAGTAGGGGAAATAGGTGATAGTAAACAATGATATTAATCTCACTTATTTTTATATTATTATATTTATAGTTACATTGCAAATGGAAGAGTAGAGAAACCAAAAACATATACTAAGAACTTTACAATTTTTCTTCCAAGTATTATTGATTGATGTTTGGATTATGCAAGTGCTGCCAGCCCCTTAGACTCACTCTGCAGTTCCCCCCATGGAAATTTGTAAACAGGTTAGGATGGGGATAGGGAAAAGCTTGTTCTTTTTGCACTTCTTGGATTATTTGTTCCAGGCTCTCCAAAGTAATGTGTACCCTGGGAATGCAGAAATTATCTCCTTAGATATTCTCTCCCTATATAGGTCCCCACAGGGAGTTCTTGGGCCTGGAGAAGATTCCACTCTCCTTTAGGAGCTTTCTCCATAAAAGTATTGAGCATTGGACACTATATTTGCAAGGGAAAAGAGGAATGTGTCTCTTGAGCATCAAAATCATTGTAGAAGAATCTCCATACTGTTTTTCAAAATGGCTGTACTTACTTACTTTCCTGTCATCAGTAGGTTCCCTTTTCTCCACAAGGGTTCCCTTTTCTTTGCATCCTCACCAACACTTGTTATCATTGGTGTTTTTGATAATAACCATTCTAACATTTGGAGGTGATACTTCATTATGATTTTAATTTAAATTTCCCTGATGATTAGTGATACTGAGTTTCTTTCATTATGTCTATTGGCCATTTATATCTCTTCTTTTGAGAAAAGTCTGTTCAGATCCTTTGCCCATTTTTTTTTCTTTTTTCAACTTTTATTTTAGAATTAGGGAGTACATGTGCGGGTTTGTTACAAAGGTATATTGCATGATGCTGAGGTTTGGAGTGCAAATGAATCCATCACCTAGGTAGTGAGCATAGTTCCCAACAGGTAGTTTTTTTTCAGCCCTTTTCCCCCTCCCAACCCCACTGTTGTATTCCCCAGCATCTATTGTTCCCATTTTTATGACCATGTGTATCCAATGTTCAGCTTCCATTTATAAGTGACAACATGTGGTATTTGGTTACTACATTAATTCACTTAGGATAATGATTTCCAGCTGCATCCATGTTGGTGCAAAGGAGATGATTTTGTTCTTTTCTATGGCTACATAGTATTCCATGGTGTATATGTACCACATTAAAAAAGTTCAGTCCACCATTGATGGGCACCTGGACTGATTCCATGTCTTTGCTATTGTGAATAGTGCTGTGAGGAACATGCAGGTGCATGTGTCTCTTTGGTAGAATGATTTATTGTCCTTTGGGAATACACCCAGTTAGTGGGATTGCTGGGTCAAATGGTAGAATAACTCTCAGTTCTTTGAGAAATCTCCAAACTGCTCTCCATAGTGGCTTATTTAATTTACATTCCCTACGGCAGTATATCAGCCTTCTCTTTTCTTCACAGTCTCACCAACATAGTATGTTTTGATTTTTTAACAAAAGCAATTCTGGCTGGTATGAGATGGCATATCTTGTGGTTTTGATTTGCATTTCTTTGATGCTTAGAGATGATGAGCATTTTTTCATATATTTATCAGCCTCTTGTATGTCTTTGTTTGAGAAGTGTCTGCTTATGTCCTTTGCCCACTTTTTAATGGGGTTATCTGTTTTTTTCTTGTTGATTTGTAAGTTTCTTATAGATTCTGGATATTAGACCTTTGTTGGATGCATAGTATGCAAATATTTTCTCCAATTTTGTAGGTTGCCTGTTTATTCCTTTGATTGTTTCTCTTCCTGTGCTTTGTACATTTTTTATTTGGGTTATTTTTTTCTTGCTATTGAGTTGTTTGAGTTCCATATATTTTTTTGGATATTAGCACTCATTAGATATATGCTTTACAAGTATTTTCTCCCAATCCCTGGGTTGTCTCTTGATTCTGTTAATTGTTTGTTTTCTTTGCTGTGTAGAAATTTTTAGTTTCATACAATTCCTCAAAAAACTAGAAATCGAATTGCCATATGATCCAGCAATTCTACTTCTGGATGTTTATTGAAAGGTGTTGAAATCAGTATGTTGAAGAGGTATCTGCACTTCTATGTTCATTATAGCATTATTCACAATAGTCAAGATATGGCGTCAACCTAAGTATCCATTGACAGATGAATGGATAAAGAATGAGGTGTATGTACACAAAGGAATACTATCCAGCCTTTAAAAGGTGGAAAATTCTGTTATTTGTAACAACATGGATTAATCTGGAAGATAGTATGCTGAGTGAAATAGGCCAGGAACAGATAGACAAATACTATATGATCTCACTTATATGTGGAATCTAAAAAGGTAGGTCTCACAGAAACAGATTGTAAAAAGGTGGCTACTAGAGGCTGGGAGAGGAAGGAAAAGAATGAGGAAAGTGATATATTGATCAAGGTTGTACAAAGTTTCAATGCAACTGGAGTAATAGGTTTTAGTGATCTATCGTACAGAATGGTGATCACAGTTAATAGTAATGTATTTTATATTTTAAAATTACTGAAATAATAGATATTTAATGTTCTCCCTACAAAAAAAAAAAACACGGTAAGTTGGTGTATTAGTCCACTTTCACACTGCTATAAGGAACTGCCCAAGTAATTTATAAAGAAAAGAGGTTTAATGGCTCACCGTTCTGCATGGATGGGGAGGCCACAGGAAGCTTACAGTCATGGTGAAAGGGAAAGCAGGTATGTCTTACATGGTGGCAGGTAAGAGAGCCTGTGTGTGAAGTGAAGGGAGAAGAGTCCCTTATAAAACCATCAGATCTTGTGTGAGCTCACTCGCTAGCACGAAAACAGCATGGAGGAAATCACCCCTATGATCCAAACACCTTTTGCCCTCAACACATGGGGATTATAGTTCCCTCCCTCGACATGTGGGATTACAATTTGAGTAAGATTTGGGTGGGGACACAGAGCCAAACCTTACCAGTTGGTGAGGTGATGAATATGGTCATTAGCTTGTCTAAATTTGTCCACAATGTATACATAGATCAAAACATCACATTTTACCCCATAAACATGTCCAATTACTATTTTTCAATTAAAAATACATATAAATAAATTAAAAATAATTGCAAAGGAAAGCTGGCTTTGGTGGGAGGCCAAGGTAGGCAGATTACTTGAAGTCAGGAGTTTAAGACAAGCCTGATCAACATGGTAAAACCCTGTATCTACTAAAAATACAAATATTAGCTGGGTGTGGTGGCACATGCCTGTAATCTCCGTTTCTTCGGGGGCTTGAGCCCTTGGGTTTGTTTGAACCCGGGGGGCGGGGTTTGCGTTGGGCCAGGTTCCCTTCCTTGCCTTCCGGCTTGGTTGCCGGGTTGGGCTTCCTTTTTTCAAAAAAAAAGAAGAAAAAAAAAATGTCCTGAAGAGGATGTTACCTAAGGTCACACAGAGATGAGCAACAAAGTAGGAGAACTCAGCATGGAACTCACCACTCTCCCAGGGCAATGATCTTTCTAGACTCCCTGCATGCCTAAATGACTCCCTGGTACCAAGCATAGATAAATAGACTCCCTCAATATTTCAGGGCAATGACATCCAAGAGGGTAGGTTTGCCATGTGCATGAGAGACACTGCCATGCATTGGGAAGGCATGGAATCTTAGAGTCCGGTAGGAAGGTCCTCTGTATACTGGAGGTGCAGAGTGTGAATGCACAAAGGAGTCTGGCAAAGAGAAGATTAATAAATAATGACATTAAGAAATCCAGGTCCTTGGCGAAATTAGAAAAATATACAAAGCTATCCAGGACTTATTTTTCCAAATTCATTAGGCATCCTCTCACCTAGCCCTTTACAATTGCATGGCTTCAGGGATTACACAGAAAACGTTCACAAACATTGCCCCAATAGATGATCTTGCAATGCAATGAAGTGGGCAGAACAGCTGTGGCTATAGCCATTGCGCAGATAGAATGTGCTTCATGGATGGCAAGACTGGGACTGTAGGACAGGCTCTCAATCCATTCTACCCTGTTATTGTTCTGAAATGGAAGTTTTATCTCCCAGCTTATATACGTAGCCTTATCTTTGATGCTTCAATATCTGAGACCTGACCAGTGTCCCTTTTAGTGATTGTATGTGTGTGTGTGTGTCATATGCAATTTCCTTATAGCAATGGCATAATGCATAACTGTTTAATTAAAGAAGAGAAATAAATGCCAAACATATGAATAAAGTCTGAGTATATCTGTAACATTAAAAGTGTAGGTGTCTATCTTTGAAGATGTATCTTAAAGACAATGAAAAGAGTCAGTGAGTAAAAGTAAGATAAGAGTCCTGGGATTTCATACAAGATCAGTGTTTACTTGATGGTGTATGAACCATAGTTTAACCAATTCCCTAGTGCTGGACATTCAGGTTCTTAATATTTTTTGCCTGTATTTACAGGCACCTTTGACTATTGGACTCATTTTGTTCTTCAGGAACAATATACAAAGTGTGGAAAGAAATGTGTATTTTTAATCATTGGAAAATAAACACTGAACAGCAATAACTCCAGTAGTCATTTGTTCCAGAGGAGGTAAAATCAGGAAATAGATGGTATGGACTGAACTTGCTTCTCTTTTTAAAAAATTTGACTTCATATTGCCAAATTGCCCTTCTAGATGTCTTTATTCCATCTAACTGCAATTCAAAGGCTTGGATGAGCAATGCCAGGCCTGGCTTGATTATCCCCTTTCTTTCTCAGCCTGTCAGTCCTTGGGAACGGGCATGATGTTGAGTTCCTGGGCCACATCCTCAATTGAAGAAGTGGCAGAAGCTGGTCCTGAGGCACTTCGTTGGTTGCAACTGTATATCTATAAGGACCGAGAAGTCACCAAGAAGCTGGTGAGGCAGGCAGAGAAGACGGGCTACAAGGCCATATTTGTGACAGTGGACACACCTTACCTGGGCAACCGTCTTGATGATGTACGTAACAGATTCAAGCTGCCACCACGACTCAGGTAAACATGAACATGTGGGCCCTGAACTGAGCTGAAAGGGATCTTGTCTGGGAATGATAGGGTCTGGATTCTACTGATACCATCATTGCTAAATATCTGGTTAATCTTCAGCTAATCAAATCCCTTTTGTAGATGTCACTTTTTTGAGCTACACAATAGAAACAGAAATGGCCTCTATACTTACAAAAGTCAAAATAAGTTTTCAGACCAGAGTGCATTAAGGCCTTTGGCTTTAGGAAGTATGAATTGCTCTACAGATGGAAGATACTTAATTTTGCCCAAGCAACAGTTTATTAAGATCATCCTGGTGCCCTATTTCTCTGTTAAAGTCAAAGAACCACCTTTACATTTTATTTTTAATTGTACATGGAACAGCTAAGGATAAGAAGATTAAAGAAAGAAAAAATAATGGAGATTAAAAAAAGCCACATCTTTGATCCCTCATTGTCTACTTCTTCTTTCAGCAATATTCCTTTCACTGTGGTTTGTCCATAGGTCAAGATTCATTCATTCATTCACTCAAATCATTCATCTTAGCAAAAATAATGTATCACATAATCTGATGTTGAACTATAATGGTTTCATCAGGTCATTCATTCACCCTGTTCACAAGCAGTGAATTATTATCTCTTTCCTGGTAGTATTTTGGGATTACAATCATCTTGAGTCAAAGCTGGAAACTGAACGGAAGTCTCTGGGAAAGACCCAAACCTCCTTAAGCTATACACCTCTTTTCCCCATCATGTTTTCCTTCCTTTAGTTTCCACCAAAATGTGCTCTTGGATTTTTCATATGGATGTATTATGTCCCTCAGCCCTATAAGTACTTGAAAATGGATCAAAATCTTAGTTTTAATGGAGGACATTTTTATGATGGACTCCTACAGCATCCATCAGAATATGTAAGATTATGAGGAATATCTTTCTGGGTTCCCAGATCTCATTCCACAGAGGCCCTTACTTATTCTGTCTATGTTTGAATTGTATTTGA